TCTGTACACATCTCACATCTCATAATATAATGTATTATACTTCCCACCTATAATTACCATCACACAGGGATCTTCTAAACATATTCGTCCTATCACAGAAAACTAATTTCACCTCCATTCTTACACTGGAAATTTTACATCAATCCTTGCACTAACACTCATACCTCAGCTCATTAACTAATCTTATCATTTTCGTTTTGACATTACACATTAGATCTTTTACTAAACACATAATTCCACACTCTATGCACCTTTGGCAATTCAGTTCTCTTAATAACCACTTAATTTCACACTTTATTGCAACCTAGTTCATACAGTAATCACATGATTTCACCTTAGGTTATACATTAGCTCATTCTCCGATCATACTCTCTCACTTTGTGATAGTACAACAATAACTCATAAAATCCTGTCTCTGTTCTAATCCATTGTCTACTACAGCTTATAACAACCCTAAATATTGTATCATGATTAATGAAGAATTATGATAATTAATAAACGAGACATTTCAGATGAAATAGTTTATGATTAAGTAAATTAGAAGTATGGGTCCAATGGACCAAAGACATAAGCATTAGGGATCCAATGAATTCATGGATCAAAGTATAACCCAACAAAGGAAGTTTTAATTCCATTTAATGTGGACAAGTCCAAGTGATACAAAGAAAGCTCTATATGATAAAGTAAAGTCCAATAAGGTAAATGAAACCCAAATCAAGTTAAAGCCCAAAGTAAGGCCATGACATAATAAACCTAAAGAAGTACTATATGACTAGGAATTAAATTAGAATTCTTTCCCTACAAGCAAGAAGCCCACGGTTTTACTAGAGAAAACAAGCTCTAAGAAGTCAATTTAAAGTGTCATAAAATCATGGAAAAATAGGCACAAATTAGGTCAGGTTAATAGGTTAAAGGTCCATAATCTTAAGGAATAAATCATGGTCCAAAATTAAAGGAAATCTTTTCCTTCCAAGCATTTAAAATCTGCGGCCTAGGTGTAGGAAATGAATTTGATTTTATTTGATTTTCAAGCCATTAAATGCAAATCAAATTTCCTTAAGTCAAGCCAGTCAAATTCCTTTAAACAAGGAAGTTAGGATTATGATGATTAGTAGTCAATCACTTTCCCTAAATCAAGCAAATTGATGACAATATGTCAATCAATCAAATAATTCTGTTTCTTAAATCAAGGAAGCAACCTTTATGACGATTAGTCTGTAACATCCCACGTAATTAAGAAATATATATACATTATTATAAGGCATAAGCATGCATGATTGAAAATTCGAATCACATGGAATGTGTGTTTAATTTTGACTCCTATGGTTAGAAGTAGAGAAATTACTTGAATTATTAGAATATATGCGAATGTACCTTAGGCATGTTAAATACTAGTAAAGTATATGAGCATGATAGAAAATCGATCTATAAAAAAATTAAAGGTACTTAGGAGACGTGGAACTTTATGATGTCTTAGAATAATCTTGGAATGGTAATCCATTGGGCTTGTCATTTTGGTGTTATTGTTTCCTTCTGTTATGCTTGTGGGCCGAAGCATAAGGGGCTGCAAAGAGGGTCTTAGTGCAGCCCAAAATTTCATTGTGTATTATCTTAATAATATCCAAAGAAACTCCATAAGTTAGTCTTTGATTGGTAGGTGATCACACATGGCAAGTTATCCTTATCTTCCCTCCACATGTGCGCGTAGGTATAGGTAGTGTGAGCAGAAATTCTGATTTATATCATCTAAAAGTGGACAGATTGGCCACTAAAATCCCTCCCTTCTATGCGCATGGGCTGCACCAAGGAAAAGGCTGAAGTTGCTTGTTGAATTTTCCAAAGGCAATCAGCCTTAAGGCAATGCAACCAATAGATAACAAGTAGCCAGCATTGCATGCAACCTTATTGGATAAACAATGTCATCCAGCCCTCACTTGTCACGCTACATAGGTAGGAAGGATGGAATTCTGATCTTACACTTTAACACTCTAACTCAATCAGATTTAAAACTATCCTTTGTGCCTTTTCATGCGCTAAGAAAATTAAAGGAGAGAAAAACAAAATTCTGGTCACATGTCCTTCCACCTTAAACTTGCATGTTCAACATGTGGCAAACACCATCTTCCATCAAGCCTTGCATGCGCATAGAGTGTATGAGAAGCAATCAGAATTTTAATTTAAAACCTCTAAGTCTTGCAACTTTTGGCCAGCCATGCAGCCAATGGAGTTAAAAAGGGAATCTAAATAAATCCTCTTTGTTCAGCCACCATTGCTCTATTTCTCATCACTCTTAAACACCCTCTCCATGCCGTAGACTATTAGAAAAAGGGAACCAACCAGAAATTGTATTATTTTCTCTTCTTCTCTAAACCGTGGAACCCTTAAGGAATCACCAAGTCTCAAATACAAATCCCTCCTTCTCTTACTCGGCTATGCGTGGTAACTCCAAGAGGTAAAGTGTATCCCTGATTCACTACTCATTCTCTTGGTTGATAAAAGACGTTCCATTATATGTGAATGATAATTCGAGCTAACCTTCCCTCCCTTCGTTTTCTTGTACACGGTCATCAACTTGAAGAGTGGAGTTGTGGTTTTAGCGGAACTTAAGGGATTGAGTTGCTGCTCTTTTGATTCAAACCGATTTTCCTTGTGTATTGTGAAGAGGTAGGCCCAAAACCCCTCTTCTTCTTCCCTTTGTTGAAACCGAGAAGCATGCTTAGGATATAGTCTTAGTTATCTTATGAAAGCATGAAAGCTTAGAATTAATTTCAGAACTTGGTAATGATCTTAAAGTTAAATGATGGGGCTGTTGATGATGGCCTGGTGTTCCTTTAAAATTTTTTGAAGCAAAATAATTTGGACAGCATGCCTAGGTCCCTTGTAGCGATCCTTGAATGAATTCGTGAGCTTTGGAAGAAATCATCCTTGATGCTTTGTTGAGATGAAACCGATTCTGTCTTGATAAAACTTGTTATAAACTAAGTTTTATTTAACTTATATATATACAGCATGTTGTTTAGTTTCCCTTCACATACTCCATGTGTTGTTAAGCCAAATATTTGAATAAACGTTATGAGCCTTGTATGATGAAACCCGTTCTGTTTTGGACCAGCCTTATTGTGTGCTAAACTCCATCTAGAATTATGTAGACAGCAGAATAATAAGCTCCTTTTTCGCATCTCTGAGTATAGAAATAGGAAATTGTATGAATAAAAATCTTGAGTAACTTCTATGTCCAAAAATCGATTCTGCCATGCTTAGGAACCTTGAGAAACCCTCACTGTTAAACGTTGGGAAGACTGTTTTGAAAGTCAGAATATTTTAGGAAAATAACATTGTTGGCCGAATGGATACATGAACCTTTAGGTTTGGAGAATTGTTGGTAATTAATAGAGAAGGCTGAAACATATTCTAATTTTGTTGCAATGTATATTAGGTGCGCAAAAGCCGTAAATTTTGGATTATATGCTGCTGTCTGGTACATTTAATTGTGACGTACGAGGTATGTGTAGGCGGTATTACCTAATGTGACTATTGGCTAGTGTATGGAATTGTGATGTGTTGCTCACATTTGTTCTATGTATGTTATGATGATGATGAGCCAATGGTAAGAATATGAAAGGATGATATGATATATGCATGCATTTTACATCATAATACATTTTTCTGTTGGGTGCGATTGCATAACATGGCATGTATACTTGATTCATGACATCTTGAATATATATATATTTGTATTGAGGACATGTGACTGAGCATGCATCATATAGGCATGCCTGGTACCAGGAGAGGGGACACTTGGCTTCAGTCCGCATAGGTTCCACAGTGGGATTCACCTTCATGGGAGCCATTAGGAATACCCACTGTGATGCTACGCGCACGACGGTGCTATGAGCGTAAAGGAAAAAGGGCGTTATATACGCGTTATGATATATGATGAAAAAGATTAAATGTTTGAAGTGACTATTTATGATTTTGTGCCTAGTTAATACTGTTGCATTTGGTTTTGTTGCCACACTACTGGGTTTATTCTCACCCCTTTGGGGCTGCAATATTTTAAATTGCAGGAGAACGTAAAAGCATTTGAGGACTTGGATGTTGAACTCTGTTATATTTTTGTTGTTGTCTGGATTTATTCTCTGTTGACTGTTTTAAGCTTGGGATGACTGTATTATGTGGTACTTGATGATTTTTGGATGACTGTAAAACTATGATTTATTTCTGCTTTAAGTCTTCTACGAACAGCGGCTATTTTAAGAAAATCTGAAAATGTCTTGCGAAAAGGAATTATTTTTAATGCTGAATTTTAACAGTTTACGGTCAACTTATGAGTTACGTTTCAAGGGGCGAATGACCTCCGATTTACTATTATTTTATATGCACGCGAAGCCCCAAGCGTCTACATTCAGATTTCGCTAACTGTACAAAAATATTTTGAAAAATCGATTTTATATTAATATTTAAAGGAATACGGTTTTCTAAAAATTTTCACCATTTTTATCAGCAACACATTTTAAGTTCTTTCCATCAAGAAAATTTTCTTAGATTCAGCTTTCCACAACAATTTCTCAAAGATCTTTTTTTTTGAAAAAGTTTTCATCCGTTTCCACAACTCGAATAACGATTAGCAAACGACTCTCTTGGATGCATACAAGAGAGGGTGTTACACTAATTGGTATCAGAGCAGTTTTGGTTCATGGTGATTGTTTTTTTTGAATTGTTTGTTGCTTGTTTTAATTGATTGATATTAACTGCTGAATAATTTGCTTGTTGTTTGACATATATTCACTACTTGCTATCTGCCGTATGATGGATTGCATTAATTGTTAAATTTAGGTATTGACTGTTGTAATTAGACTGTTAGATTTAGATGGTGATGAGGGATCGATGCACTGTTAACTTACCCGATTTGAACTCGAGTACCTACTTTGAATTTGCTGTCATAAATAACCTGCAGTGAGTCCGATCAGCTCATTTCGTGATATTGTGAGTGCAGAATCATGGCAGGTAATCGCGGTTCCACTCGGGGAAGGACTAACAATGCTGAAGAGGATCTTATCACAACAATTGGGGGATTGGCCACGTTCGTCCAGAACATGAGCCAAGAATGGCAAGAACATCGTCAACAGAACCAGAATCAACCCCCGCTGCAGGACCATGCGGAGGAGATTGCCCGACGGAGGTTGAAGGACTTCCGTAACTTTCAACCACCTATCTTTGAAGGTGGAGACCACCCTGAGGCTGCAGCAAACTGGCTGCAGATGATCGAACATATCTTCGAACGGATGGGATGCCCAGAGGCTCAGAAGCCGGACTATGCCTCCTATCAGTTGACGGGAGAAGCATTGACATGGTGGACTGGCGCGAGAGCTCTGCTGCGAGCTCAGAATACTGAAGTGACCTGGGCTGTGTTCAGGAGGGTATTCTTGGACAAGTACTTTCCAAAAGCAATGCGAAGAATGAAACACACAGAGCTACTGTCTTTGAGGCAAGGAAACATGACTATCAATGAATACATTGCAAAGTTTGCACAACTGATGGAATATGCCAATTTTGACCGTAACATCTATGATGAGGAGTGGCAAGTGGAGAAGTTTGAGAGTGGTTGACCACGGCTATCCGTACTCTGCCCGAAATCATTAATCAGAGTCGGCAGGCAGAAGGCATTATCATGGAAGCAAGAAATTTGAATAGACAACCGGTGCAACAGCAGGGAGGAAACAGA